GCAGTGATCTGCAGTCCGTGCGGTCAACGATTCAACGATAGGTTTTCACTCTGATTCTGGCGTCAAAGGAGCCCTCGCAAAGATGTGCAAAGCCATGGTGGACTACGTTTCCAAAAATGGTCCAAACCATCGCGCGCAGGGCCTGGGCGGATTTCAAACGAATGGATGAATGACGCTGCAACTGCATTAATTCGAATGCTTTTCTAAGACTCCTGCTACATTTAGTTCATTAGGAGGAAAGAATGTTGCAATGTTGTGTGTTGTGTGATTGCGTCCTTTTCTTAGTTGTTCTGCGAGATTTGGCACTACATCAACGTGTTCAGAAAAAAGAGAACGAAAATTTTTTGAAGTGACCCAATTGAATTGAAGGGACCTCTGCAAGCTTTTACTGGTGGAACTTGGGTGTTGTCCTTGGAAAGCATTATTCAAGCTTGCATGTAGGACGAGAAAAGCAGCAGCAATAAGTGGCTCTGCAATAATGATAAGACTGTAGTACGATTAAACTCGTAGTCGAATCATGGGCAACATTCATTTACTTTCGACTGTGAGGGCTGATCGCTCGTACAAATGGCTCAGGTAAAGAGCATAAAATATTGCATTTCCAAGCATATCCTAATTGAGCAGCGTGGTAGATCATTTGCCTAAACCTCTAGGGATCACTCCATGCCTCAGGCCCATTATACCCATTACCTCGTTTTCTATCGGCATCAACGAAGCTTCGGATTTGTCAGGACTTTTTAAAGTGTTTGCGAAGACTTCAAAAAGCGCGAAATTTAGCTTCCTCCACATAAGGATCAAAGTCTGCTCAGCTGGGCGCCAACAAAGGTGCACATGAGCCAAAGAACAGCAGAGGTGAAGCTCTAGTGTTATCCGTGTGGGCGGAAAAAAGTTCTGCCACGTAGATATGTACACTAATTTTGCAAATGAATAAATTGATCTACTATGACTCAAACACGAATTTCAGGATGGCGACATCCAGCTGTATAAGGCGCATGAGCGTATTCGCGCTCTCACTAAGGAACTTGCTATGCAAGAAGATGCTGCTGTACGTGTAAGTGGGAAGACTTCATTATACGTATGCCATTCTAAACCCGCTATGATATACGACATTGCGCAAGAAATAGGCTGTGACTGCCATCACTTCTGAAAAAAAAACGCACGGTGGAGAACCGGGAAGAAATGCATTTTGGTTGTGACCATCCGCGGACAAGAGACTGCACACGTTCCATTCATGCCGCAGAACAAATAAACGCGCTCAAGCGCCTGAGAATCACCCTTGGATGCAAGATA